GAAATTAAACCTGCAGCATTCGTATGATATGACTATTAGTAAGCTTGCACTTCGCACAGCAGACGTCTACTAACCAGCTCTGCTAACCTCACGACGGTCTGCCATGATTTGAACTGCACTAGTTTTGTCGCATAGAACTTTTTCAAACTCTCATTTATTCAAGCTTTTGTTTAGTGCCGCTAACTTTTTTTACGAATCTCCTCTGCTGACAACAAGATGTGGCTTCATAGGTACTACAAAGTTGTTTCCTTCAGTTCTTCGCCGCTGATACATATAGTTCTTGCAGGTATATATTCTGATTTTCGGTATTCAGCGTAAACCATACAACTGCTGTGTGGTTTCCATTTCTGCTCATTCTTCAGCACTCAACACTGCTGGCTCTTAGAAATCGTTTGTGCAGAACATCTACAAGGAGACTAATGTCCGAAGAATTTTATGACGGACTTGACTGTAATAAAGGGAAGGGGAAAGAGTACCGACTTTGTACTCATTTGAATCTCTCCGTTCATACCGGTCGTACGTAACCTGAGGCGTCGCGCTAAACTTTTCTGTCCGACATATTTATATGGCACTATGTGTTTCCGTAAGGCCCACCGTATGCTTTCATGAAATATCTGATTGAAAGCCGGCAATGATCAAGAAAACTGTACGGTCTTTCGCAAACTTGTTGCATGCCATTCCATGACCAGTAGTCCGCGGAGGCGGTGCAAACTGGTGGCGTTCGTTCCCCTACCCGTTTTGCTTTTCTCCATATTCTCCCATCATGTGCGAGCTGAATGTTATCGACGTGTTTAGTCCTTTCACGACCGCATCCAATTTTTGATAGCCAATGATTCGAGGTCGCGTTTCAGTTGTACAGTTGAAGATGTTTAGTGTGCTTCTAGAATCGGCCGGTGTAAGCAGTCTCAATGCCTTCTTGTTCTTTTATATGGAAGTCGTTATGCCATCGTTAGTCGTTATACCGTACCAGCCGCGAGGATTACGGTGTGTTTGATCGAGGAATAAATCTAGCTAGAAACTTCGGATTGTCTACACATTTTGTAGGCATAAGGGAATCGTCAGTTGAAGTGGCCTTTTCAGATGAGACCCATACTGCTTTGAAGAATACTGCACGATGATTCCAAATCTGCCTTCCAAATATGCCAAGCGCCTCCTACACACCGAGTTATGACCAGGGTCAAGCAAGGGGTGTGGCACACGATCGCTGGTTACGACCCCCCCCCCACTTGAATTATATACCTAAGATAGCATTACCTGAGGGCCCTGTTAGGGCCGCATGCACTAACATGGCCGCGGGGAGGGGATCGCAGCTTAAAAGAAAGCTTCATATTTCGAAATTCCAGATACCTGGATTTCATGTTGTGTACCTATCCGTAAGTATTGCTACTATCCTTCACTATGAACATGTTGAACAGGAGCGAGAAGCTGTACAAACCGCATTTTCCAGCTTTTGTATGATCCCTGATGATCCCCGGCGCTTTTCTTTAAAGTCATTTTTCTTTCTCCGAAGTTAACGAAAAACTTCCAAAGTTGTGCGGTTATCTAACCCAACAATGCTAAGCATGTTGCTGATAAGAACAAATGATGTTTTGAAGTCATGAAATTTTCCATGATCCACAGGTCGAAATTTGGGGTTTACCGAAAAATTCGATTTTTCAAAAATTCATTTGTTCTCATCAGCAACATGCTTAGCACTGTTGTGTTAGATGTTTAGTACAACTTTGGAAGGTTTTCGTTAACTTGGGAGAAAGAAAAATGACTTTGAAGAATAGATGTTCGTCCCCCAGGGATCATCAGGGGATCCTACAAAAAGCTGGGAAATGCGGCTTGTACAGCTTCTCGCTTCTGCTCAATATGTTCATAGTGAAGGATGGTGGGAGTACTTACGGATAGGTAGACAGCGTGTAATCCAGATATCCGGGGCTTCAGGATATGAAGCTTTCTTCTGAAGCTGCGATCCCCTCCCCAGCGAAAATGTTAGTGCATGCGGCCCTTAAACATAATGGGCAACATATCCATAATGAGCATGTCAATTAACCCCTGTAGACAAAGTTTGAGCGAATTCTGAAGATTCAAGATACTATGCTACCTAAGTGAAATGGTCATTTTCCAACATGATTAACTTTGTTTCAAAGGTGGATTAGCTATCCGTTTTTGCATTCTAGACAAAGCACTACTTCTTTTTGGTCCATCTCAGAAATCCCTCTCCAAAAGAACTCCAAACTGTGGAATTAGAAGCCAACCAAAATCTCGTTTTTCCCAACTTTCACTTTTGATGGCTGTGCCACCAAATTCAGAGCTAAGAAGACGGATCGGGCTTAAAACATTTCCTTGGAATCTGATTTAGGCTATCGATCCATATAAATACTGTTCGCTAAAAATGTTTTTATGACATAGTTAATGGGGTGTGGCACACCTCCATAAAAGCTGTGGCTGCCAGAAGCTTTTAAGGGGTTGTGCCACATCCCATTAGCTACATCAAAAAAACATTTTTAGCGAACAGTATTTATATGGATCGATAGCCTAGATCTCCTAGTTTTCACACGAGTAATTTGAGACTGATTCGCCTTTTTGCTCTGAGTAATATTTGGTGGAAGCACAGCCATTAAAAGCGAAAAATGGGAAAAATGAGAATTTGGTTGGATTCTAATTCCACAGTTTGGAGGTCTTTTGAAGCGGCATTTCTGAGATGGACAAAGAAGGAGCAGTGGTTTGTCTTGAGTGCAAAAATGGATGGCTAATTCACCTTAGAAACAAAGTTAATTATGTTGGAAAATGACCGTTTCACTTAGGTAGCCTAGTCAGGGCTCGGCACGAGCTGGCACCAGGGAAATTTCAAAACGAAGTCCCGTATGATATTGAAAATTTCGTACGAAGTCCCTTTTGACCTGTTTTGAAAATCCGTCATCATTTTTATATTATGTAAAAAATGTAGCGGTGTTTTCATGCATTTCTGATTTCATGAAAGAACTTTTCACAGCTTTCTGAGCTTTTTAAGTGGTCGAATCACATCTTGAGAAGCAGAAAAAGCCGATTTTTTAACTGCGGAGCGGACCGAGTGGTTTTCAAATTGCTATAAAACGCTGAAAAGAGAACATTATGAAACTGTTTCTTCTCCGTATGTAATCTTTTACAGTGTAGATACATTTTATGTAAAAAAGTATGAAAACTTATGTGAGCAAAGTGTCGGTGCCAGCTCAGCTGGCACCCAGCTGGCACGGTGCCAGCTAATTCAGAAAAAAGTTGGGCACAGCTTTCATTCACATAAGTTTTCACAAATTTTTGGCCCATAGTTCCGGTCCACCAACGCGCATGCACACACCAAATTTGGTGTCATACTATTGCGTTTTGGCTGAAAACAACGCCTTTGTTTGTTGATGGACAGCTTTTCAATGGCATGCCGGTGGCATGCCGGCGGCATTTTTGCGGCAGTTCTCCGCCTCGGCCCCTGTAGAAACGATAACCCCTTTGCTTTCCGCCCTAAAAACGATATCCAGCTTGACCCGGTGCCAGCTGTGCTGAGCCCTGAGCCTAGTATCTTGAATCTTCAGAATTCGCTCAAACTTTGTCTACAAGGGTTGATTGACATGCTTATTATGGATATGATACGAATATCATGTTATCACTATTATCAGATTACCCAGCTACGACCCTCTCCCCTTTTGACTCCTCAATACGACCCCCCCCCCCCCCCCCCAGGTATGGCGTGCCACACCCCACGCTTGACACTGGTTATGACCGTTCGTCGGAACGAAAGGTGAGTGCAGAATTCAAGTAAAGTTGATTGTTACAACTTTTCCAGTTCTCAGATAAAGCAATTTAAGTATCAGCATGTTAGACAAGATGTGTCCATTGCATAAACTGCTCTGATGCGTGACACTGGACCATTCAAGCAAATTTGGGCAATTTTGCTTCAGTTTTGCGTTCAATTTTTTGACCTGAAAAACGACCATAACTCGACGTCCAGAGGCGCTTGGCAGAATTGGAAAGCAGATTGGGAATCACCGCTTGATGCTTTTCAAAGCAGTATGGGTCTCATCTGGAAAGGCCACTTCGACTAGACACTCTTCCCTTGTCAGTTAAGTGTGATTGTATTTCAAAATTGTAGTTGCTCAACACTTTTATCCATGTCAAACAAGCTCTCTACTACCTAGAGACAATAGGTTGGTATCAGAGTCATTTGTAAATTGCAAAGCTGTTGGTGATTGGTTGATCCGCGCAAGACACTGTAGAGGCTTGTATGCGTTCATTAGTCTTTTCGACTATAAAAAAAACCATTTTCGGCGCTCAACAAAAGCTTTGAAGAGATTCCCAAAGTTTTTTTCGTACTCTACGCTTCTAAATAGTAGTACTGATGCAAAGAGTAGACTCGATCTGTCAGTCTAGCGTATCAAACGCTAAAATTGGGGTTGCGACAAAGGTCACTACGAAAGTTACTTTGTACAAATCTAGGTAATAGGAAAGAGTTGTGGGGAAAGAGCAAAGTTAGTCACATGGCTAGATCTAGGCCTTGTATACACTTAGCAACTTCTCCAAAAAGCCGTTATAGGCCCCGGACAGACTTCACGCGGTTTGATCGTCGCGACTCAATCGTCGACATTTCCATTCATTTTCATTTCACATTCAAAATTTCGGGCTGGAAAAGTATCACAACCGAAATGCAAGTTGATCGGCATGGAATGATGTTGTAACAGTTGTCTCGTCGCGATTCAGTCGCGGCGATCAAATCGCGTGAAGTCTGTTCGGGGCCATACACGATCTGGCAATCTGCCAGATGTCTGCAAATCCACCGCGTGTGGAATTTATACGCATAGACGCATAGCTTTTGTAAGCATATGCATACCTGCTTACGAGTACGCGCACTAGGGAAGATTATGAACAAACGTAGCGATTAGATGGCGCGGCGACGAGTACGGCAGATCCCTTATGCTTTCCTGCTGAACTGCAGACCTTAGGTTTGATTTCTGCGGCAAAATTTTTGCACAAGTTCCAGCGTTAGGATGCTTCTCCTAGAGAAAGCCGCGCGACAAGCCTGCTCGAAAGGGCAGGCTTGTCGCGCGGCCTTTCCTGCCTCCTATCAACCGTTCAGACACGTCGTAAACACTCAAGTGAAGGCTCTGACGTTCCCGGAAGCGACGCGCGCAAGACCGATAGGTGGAATAGTAAGGGAAGGTCACCTTACAGCAAGGTAAGAGACGATTCAGATTCTTGCAGAATACGGTGAACGCCCCATCGACGTTGGTATAGTGTATGCCTCGGCCCAATTCCCACAGTTGCCTCCGCGACGCATACGCAATGCGCGCTCCGTTGACACTTCTCATTTTACTCATGAGCAAAAAGCATTTCTACGTGAAGATAGAAGTGAAAGAAGAAGTGAAACCCCTTTAATCTCAGCTGGAGAAAAGCCTTAGCAAGAAAAAACGTTTACTACTTTCACTAACAGTTTGTGATCAATCTCATGGATACTATGTAACATTTGATTCAACTGGCTTGGCACCATTAGGGCGGGGTTTTGTGATCTAATTGAGGCCGCTCGCGCTCGCGATGCACCTGCGTCTCTCTCGCGCGAGTGCTCTCTGATCATTACCTAGCCTTAATTAGGTCGAGAAGCCCCGCCTTTGCCAATGCCAAGCTAGTTGAATCAAATGGTAGTATGATACTACTGGGTGAATGAAGGGTGAAAATCATAGAAGTAACAGAGAGAGAGAGAGAGGATGAAACGTATTCCTTCTCTAATCATTAAAAAAACTGACAAGAAAAGCTTGTTTAGCCGAGTCTTTTTGAATAGAATTTACACCATATTGTAGGGCATAGCATGCTGATTTCAAACCTGCCTTCTTTATCTGCAGAACGTTTATGCACTAGGAGTTATGAGCGTTTCTAGAAAAAAAATGTTGCATTTTGGATGAAAAGAATTAAAATCTTACTAGCCCTGAACTAATCCAACAAAGTGTGATATATTTTTTATTTTAGGGTATTGTTTGAATAAAGTGCTCTGATGATTATGATTGCTTAACTGAAGAGCCAAAAAAAGTATTACGGCTATTTTTATCCTACTTGCATAATCTTTTTGCTCCAATAAGCTCTCATACTTCTCATTCATAAACGCTCTACAGATAAGTAAGGCAGATTTGGAATCAGCATTTTATGCCTTTTAACATGGTGTTCATCACATCTAAAAAGGCCACTTTGGCCACTAAACATGCATTCCTTGTCAGACTAGAGAAAACCAATCAGGCGCCACTATTGTAAGTTCCGAAGTTTAGGCTGTTGAATAAATCTATTCCCGCCGCCTACCCTCGCGATTCACGTAGTAGCGCATACTAGCATGCTACTGTAACCCTATAATTTCGCAGTATCTTCCAGCATAAGTAAGGAAAAAACTGTATCCTTCCCTAGGAGAAACGGTTTCGAGCGAAAATACCGCCACGCGGCGAAAAAGGCTTAGCAATGGCAATGATATAGAAACACAGATATATGGAATGCTCTAAAGGTAAGTTAATGAGGATGCGGCACAACCTTTCAAAAAAAAGGGGCCACCACAGCTTTTTCGGGATAGTGCTCCACCAACTTGCCTCCGAAGGTATTCTAGCAAACAAATTGTATAAAGTCTCATAGCCCAAATCTTGTAGTTTTTGTAGATAATTAGAGTTGAACTTTCTTCTTTCGTTTGTGCAATAGCTGCTGAAAGCATAACCATTGTGGCTAAAAATGGGCAAATGAGATTTTGACTGGCTCTTTTATATTAGGTCGTTCCGAAGTTCTTTCCGTTTTTTCATTCTATCATGAAAGCACGTGAAAAAGATTGGGAAAAGCTTTAAGCACTACCCGACGCAGTTTTCTCCCCCCCTTTTAACTTTCATACGATAATCGCGAAATTTCGAACCCATGGTTTTCCCTTGTCCAAATGGCAAATTTTTAGTACCTTTTTTTCGAGCTTTTGAAAGATTCGATGGCAGTTACATAGCATAAACAAAGCGCAATGCAATGCAACTTTATGGCAATTTAAATTAGCTTTGCAGTATTCTTTAAAACAGCTTTTCCAGAAGTCTTCACTTTTCCGAAGTCACAAAGTACAAACGCTCCCAACACTAACAAATACTTGATTTTGAACCTTTCAAAAGTCAGTTACGATTATCCACTATTTTTAGAAAGCAACTGGGGGTTTACCGCTTTAAAACACAAGATTTCGTATTTTACTTGTACAGGCTGGAGCGGGATTAAAATCAAGAAGTATGGAAATTGTATAGCCAAAGATTCCACAAACTAGAGAGAAAAAACATTCAACAGAAAGAGGAGGAAAAGCTGTTTTAAAGAATACTGCAAAGCTAATTTAAATTGCCATAAAGTTGCATTGCATTGCGCTTTGTTTATGCTATGTAACTGCCATCGAATCTTTCAAAAGCTCGAAAAAAAGGTACTAAAAATTTGCCATTTGGACAAGGGAAAACCATGGGTTCGAAATTTCGCGATTATCGTATGAAAGTTAAAAGGGGGGAGAAAACTGCGTCGGGTAGTGCTTAAAGCTTTTCCCAATCTTTTTCCACGTGCTTTCATGATAGAATGAAAAAACGGAAAGAACTTCGGAACGACCTAATATAAAAGAGCCAGTCAAAATCTCATTTGCCCATTTTTAGCCACAATGGTTATGCTTTCAGCAGCTATTGCACAAACGAAAGAAGAAAGTTCAACTCTAATTATCTACAAAAACTACAAGATTTGGGCTATGAGACTTTATACAATTTGTTTGCTAGAATACCTTCGGAGGCAAGTTGGTGGAGCACTATCCCGAAAAAGCTGTGGTGGCCCCTTTTTTTTGAAAGGTTGTGCCGCATCCTCATTAACTTACCTTTAGAGCATTCCATATATCTGTGTTTCTATATCATTGCCATTGCTAAGCCTTTTTCGCCGCGTGGCGGTATTTTCGCTCGAAACCGTTTCTCCTAGGGAAGGATACAGTTTTTTCCTTACTTATGCTGGAAGATACTGCGAAATTATAGGGTTACAGTAGCATGCTAGTATGCGCTACTACGTGAATCGCGAGGGTAGGCGGCGGGAATAGATTTATTCAACAGCCTAAACTTCGGAACTTACAATAGTGGCGCCTGATTGGTTTTCTCTAGTCTGACAAGGAATGCATGTTTAGTGGCCAAAGTGGCCTTTTTAGATGTGATGAACACCATGTTAAAAGGCATAAAATGCTGATTCCAAATCTGCCTTACTTATCTGTAGAGCGTTTATGAATGAGAAGTATGAGAGCTTATTGGAGCAAAAAGATTATGCAAGTAGGATAAAAATAGCCGTAATACTTTTTTTGGCTCTTCAGTTAAGCAATCATAATCATCAGAGCACTTTATTCAAACAATACCCTAAAATAAAAAATATATCACACTTTGTTGGATTAGTTCAGGGCTAGTAAGATTTTAATTCTTTTCATCCAAAATGCAACATTTTTTTTCTAGAAACGCTCATAACTCCTAGTGCATAAACGTTCTGCAGATAAAGAAGGCAGGTTTGAAATCAGCATGCTATGCCCTACAATATGGTGTAAATTCTATTCAAAAGACTCGGCTAAACAAGCTTTTCTTGTCAGTTTTTTTAATGATTAGAGAAGGAATACGTTTCATCCTCTCTCTCTCTCTCTCTGTTACTTCTATGATTTTCACCCTTCATTCACCCAGTAGTATCATACTACCATTTGATTCAACTAGCTTGGCATTGGCAAAGGCGGGGCTTCTCGACCTAATTAAGGCTAGGTAATGATCAGAGAGCACTCGCGCGAGAGAGACGCAGGTGCATCGCGAGCGCGAGCGGCCTCAATTAGATCACAAAACCCCGCCCTAATGGTGCCAAGCCAGTTGAATCAAATGTTACATAGTATCCATGAGATTGATCACAAACTGTTAGTGAAAGTAGTAAACGTTTTTTCTTGCTAAGGCTTTTCTCCAGCTGAGATTAAAGGGGTTTCACTTCTTCTTTCACTTCTATCTTCACGTAGAAATGCTTTTTGCTCATGAGTAAAATGAGAAGTGTCAACGGAGCGCGCATTGCGTATGCGTCGCGGAGGCAACTGTGGGAATTGGGCCGAGGCATACACTATACCAACGTCGATGGGGCGTTCACCGTATTCTGCAAGAATCTGAATCGTCTCTTACCTTGCTGTAAGGTGACCTTCCCTTACTATTCCACCTATCGGTCTTGCGCGCGTCGCTTCCGGGAACGTCAGAGCCTTCACTTGAGTGTTTACGACGTGTCTGAACGGTTGATAGGAGGCAGGAAAGGCCGCGCGACAAGCCTGCCCTTTCGAGCAGGCTTGTCGCGCGGCTTTCTCTAGGAGAAGCATCCTAACGCTGGAACTTGTGCAAAAATTTTGCCGCAGAAATCAAACCTAAGGTCTGCAGTTCAGCAGGAAAGCATAAGGGATCTGCCGTACTCGTCGCCGCGCCATCTAATCGCTACGTTTGTTCATAATCTTCCCTAGTGCGCGTACTCGTAAGCAGGTATGCATATGCTTACAAAAGCTATGCGTCTATGCGTATAAATTCCACACGCGGTGGATTTGCAGACATCTGGCAGATTGCCAGATCGTGTATGGCCCCGAACAGACTTCACGCGATTTGATCGCCGCGACTGAATCGCGACGAGACAACTGTTACAACATCATTCCATGCCGATCAACTTGCATTTCGGTTGTGATACTTTTCCAGCCCGAAATTTTTGAATGTGAAATGAAAATGAATGGAAATGTCGACGATTGAGTCGCGACGATCAAACCGCGTGAAGTCTGTCCGGGGCCTATAACGGCTTTTTGGAGAAGTTGCTAAGTGTATACAAGGCCTAGATCTAGCCATGTGACTAACTTTGCTCTTTCCCCACAACTCTTTCCTATTACCTAGATTTGTACAAAGTAACTTTCGTAGTGACCTTTGTCGCAACCCCAATTTTAGCGTTTGATACGCTAGACTGACAGATCGAGTCTACTCTTTGCATCAGTACTACTATTTAGAAGCGTAGAGTACGAAAAAAACTTTGGGAATCTCTTCAAAGCTTTTGTTGAGCGCCGAAAATGGTTTTTTTTATAGTCGAAAAGACTAATGAACGCATACAAGCCTCTACAGTGTCTTGCGCGGATCAACCAATCACCAACAGCTTTGCAATTTACAAATGACTCTGATACCAACCTATTGT